GCCCTGGCTTGGCCGTGTGGCCCCTTTCTTGGTGGGCTCCTGCAGGATGTCTGCTGTCACCCGATGTCACCTCATGCCATCCACCTCTGCCTGCATTCCTGGGGCCTAGCACAGCGCTGGGCACTGAGTTACTTAGGGCTGAACACTCTCTGGGTGTGCGTTCATAAAACATGGAACTCGGCCCCCGGGCCCTTAGTAACCGCCACTCAAGCGCAAGTGCTCCTTAGGAAAAGTGTCCCTGTCCCTGTGAGGGGCAGGTGGGAATCACGTCTGCTCAGAGCCTTTAAAGATGCACTTTTCAGACGTTAATGTGCATGGCCACCGCCCAGGGACCTCATTACAGGGCAGCTTTGTCCTTGCGGGTCTGGGCAGGGCTGCGAGGCGCACTTGACCTGGTCCCAGGTGAGGCCGCTCTGGTTAATTCATGGGCTCCGCTGCTGAGTCATTTGAAATATTTAACAGTCCAAGTTGGAACTTGTTCCCCTTTTCAACCCCGAGCTTCCCCCGTGAGTGAAAGATGTTTCTAGGCTGCGGGAGGCGGGCGGCCCCGGAGGAGGCCAGAGATGGGCAGCGGCTGCCCAGGCCCGGCCCAGTGCCCAGAAGGCCCCCGGGGCAACCAGATGGGCATGGGGGGGCAGCTCCCAGCCCTGCTGCAAACAGGAGCCGGGACACGTACCTGTTTGTCTGGAGCTTGATAAACGAGTTGGGGGACATTAATATTTGTTCTGCTTCTATCTCGGGGTTCAGCAGCCGCAGCTTCTCGAAAACCTGAGAAAGAGGGTGAGCTGGGTCTCCCACGGCAAGCCCGAGGCCCCTTATCCACCAGTGGGGGCTGGGGGCCAGGACGAGACCAACGGCAGACCACCTGCCCCATGGCCGGGGACACGATGGGGCTGGTGGCCCGGGAGCAGCAGCCGTCTGCACCCCGTGGGAGCTGGGCCACCCGGCTTCACCCTCGGCCTCGGCCCCCGTCACAGGAGACTCCACAGCAGGGAGATCAGGCCCGGCATCCTGCTCGGGGGACCCCCACCACTGAGACATCCTGTCCTCCCTGTCGCCATCTCAGAACAAGCCTCTCTCTCTGCTGTGGCCCATCTGGCTCCCTCCCCTCTGCCATGCTCGAGGGCTCCCGGAGCACACAGGGGCAGCAGGACTCCTAAGGAGCCCACCACCTACATCCCCTCTCCCAGACCACATAGGGCAGCTGGCTCCCTGCCCTCCAGGCAGCTGGTCCTGTGTCATGAGGCCCCACCCAAGGCCTGACCCCTGACCACAAGCAGAGCCCCTGACCACCTAAGCAGGCTCCGCCCTCCCCTGAACCAGGCTCCACCCTCCCCTGAGCCAGGCTCCACCCTCCCTTGAGCAGGCCCCGCCCTCCCCTGAGCAGACTCCACCCTCCCCTGAGCCAGGCTCCACCTTCCCCTGAGCAGACCCCGCCCTCCCCTGAGCAGGCTCCGCCCTTCCCTGAGCAGGCTCCGCCCTTCCCTGAGCAGGCTCCGCCCTCCCCTGAGCAGGCCC